ATTTGAAATATTTATATGATTCTCCAAAATAGAAATAATTTCTTTATGTAGATGCTGTGCTAATCTATATTTCATATTATAAAAACAGAAAACATAAAGAATATTAATTCCCATGGAAAGGACTGGAGCTGAAAGACAGACCATAGTCAGAGTCTTGGTGGAAGAAAAACAGTCTAGAAATGCTATATCTTTCAGGGAAGCATTTGGATTGTAAATTCATAAAGATGTATAGAGGAGGGAGAAGCAAATGCTTAATAAAATTTTTTAGAACAATAAATTCCTACATCAATCACTGTAATCCTCCCCGCAAAAAATTACTTTCCTCTTTCTCCTCCTGTTTTGTGTATGCCCAACTATTCACATATTTCCTTAATGTTTCTATTTTACTCAGACTAAATTGATAGCCTTCTTGGTGTGAACCTAACTTTAGTTAAGAATGGGGTATATTTTGTGGATTGGCTGTACTCATTGTTAGCCACTGGAAAATCTTGCTTGAGGTAAACACCGAGTGTTAGTCGCTCAGTCGTGTCTGATTTTTTGCAACCCCACGGGCTGTAGCCTGCCAGACTCCTCTCTCTATAGGATTTTCCAGGCAAGAATACTGGAGTGGGTTGGCATTTCCTTTTCCAGGGGATCTTCCAACCCAGGGATTGAACCCAGGTCTCCTGCATTGCAGGTAGATTCTCTACTGTCTGAGACACCTGGGAAGACCCTCGAGAGTCAGGAATTGAGACAAGGAAACATGGAGGCCAAGAAATTAAAAAATATTTTTTTACATCATTAGAGAAAAGTTTTAGAAGTATATTACTTTATATTTATTCTTACAAATTACATATTACAGAGACTAAAGAGACTATCATTATTTATCTAGGGATCAGATTACCTTGCATGTACAATATTGAAAATATTTATTTTTAAAGGCAATTGCTACATTTTACTCTTTCCTGGGAAAACTTCATTCACCTACATATATATCACTCTACTTCCTTTTTTTCTTGGTCTAAATCTGAGAACAAAGATTTTGATATTAACTGAATATTGTTTGTAGTAGATTATATTGCTTTAAACTTTCATTTTATATTTTTAATGTCTCTTGCTCTTGGCAAGTTATAATTCAGGAAGGCAGAAAGATCAATCTTAGCATGTAGAAGGAAAGTATTTAGCAGCCAAGATAGTTGGCATTTAGGCAAGTTAAATTTTTTCAGCATTTTTGAAGATATAAGATAATGTAGAAAATGTTATAGGGCTGTTTACAAATTAGGATATAGAGCCTATACCTCGAATTCATAGGGTAGATTTTTATCTTCTTATTGTTTTTCAATATAAGAAAATAGTACAATACCTTAAAAATAGTTCACACAATGCTGGGCAAATGAATCTTGTCATTTGGAATAAGATAGTCTTATCATGTGTTGAAAATTTAAGAAATTGTTCTAGATCACCAGCCCAGGCTGGATGCATGAGACAAGTGCTCAGGCCTGGTGCACTGGGAAGACCCAGAGGGATGGGGTGGAGAGGGAGGTGGGAGGGGGGACCGGGATGGGGAATACATG